GTGAATTTCAAGCTAAGAATTCTGTTTAAAAATTTGTTAGTATATACAGTTTTGTAGAGCTCGACGAGCTCTATCGAACCATGTAAAAATATCCAAGAAAAACATTTTAGTCCATTTTTGAATTACTAGTACCTTCCTTTTCCACCACCAAAAATGTATAAAATTTCTGAAAGTTTCTTAAGTTCGATATTAAAAGGTTTACATAACCGTTACTATTTAGCATCAATAAATCCCATTTTTCACGGACTTTCATTTGGTATAAAATTCATCATATCATCTATTTGAAATTATAGCGTTACCCCCCTGGAATAATATTTTTTCCAACCGTGTATATCATAAACAACAACAACAACATTAAAATTAGTTTGGAAGATAAAATAAAAGTTAATTATTAATTTATTTAATAATTTACTCAATGAATAATCTGAATAGAAGAAAAGAAATATAAATAAATTTTCAATAATAAATCGAATATAATGAGAAATAAACATAAGATAAATTGTTTGAAAACAAATTCAATTAATTATTGATTATTTTAACTATTTTATTATTTTTCATTGAAATATATGATGATGAATTTCTTTTGTTTTTCTGTTTTTCTTTTTTCTTTTTTCTTTTTTCTTTATAATAATTTATAAATAATTGAATAGAAATATATATAATATGTTTTATGTATAATAACAATGATTTTCAAGATAAAAAGTGATTTTGTTTTAAGATTAGATATTATTGAAAAATAATATTAGACAAAATAACTTGAAAATAATTTTAAAATAATTTCTATTCATTTATTATTCTGATATAAGAAATTTATTTTTGTTGGTTTGTTAAAATTTTGATATTGATTTGTATTTTTAAAATTGACAAATATTTAAATAAATGTGTATCTTATAACAATATCAGATAGATAATTGACCACTAATATATTTCTATCATTATTCTCTAATATAGGTTTTGTTTTTTCTTTTCCTATAATATCTATTTAAGTTTGTTTTATTACCTATAAAATATTCGTATTATTATTTATTTTTTTTATTTAAAAAAAAAACAAATTTACGTTGTTTTTTGTATTGTTTTATTGATATTTATTGTTTTATTAAAACGTTGATAAAAAAACATTTTTCACATATCAAACAATATTACAGTATAGATTGTGCACTTAGATTTCAATTGATTTATTTTCTTTATTTCATCTTATCTTAACTCGTTTTATTTTATTCGATCTTTTCACAAAAGTAGTTTACTAAAATCGTTCTTTCTTTTTTGTCTCTTTTATTTTCACGTTAATTTATATATACTGTATTTAGTAATTTACTGTACTGTTTAGAAAATAAAAATGATGCAAGATTTAATAAAATAATAATAAAATATGTTTGAAAAACAAATATAATTCGTTAGTATAATGAATAATCTTAAATATATAATATAATATATTTGTAAATAATTCATATAGATCAAGAAGTAGAATAATACTCTCATTAAATCATCGAGAAAAATATGCCCAACATTTATTATATAATTTAAGATAAATAAACTTTTTTTGTTTTTCATCTAATGACATGTTTACATTGTGTTTTGTATTTTTTTTGTTGGTACGACAAACGGAAAATTGTCAATTAATTTAAATAATAGTTTACTTTTTATAATGATCTAATAGGAAATCGAATTTTGGTTTAAAAAAAAAATATATAATAAAATATATTTTTGAATTTGTTTATTCCTATAGATTAATAGTATAAAATAGTTGAACTAAATAATATATTTATAATTTGTATTGTTTTTATGATCAATAGAAATATATTTATTGTTCGAAATTGAAAATAACATAAATTTATTTTAATTATTAATTAAAATAAATTTATCTTTATATTCTATTGATGCATTATCGATCTAATATCATATTCGATAATGTATTACCAATGAATTTAAAATAAAATTTCTATGTTCCGAATATATTTCTTTAAAATAGAATTCAAATATTTATAAATGATCTTCTTAAGGAACACGAATTTGTCAAATATAAATATTATTCAATTTTTAATATTAATAATAATGTATATATCTATATTGTTGGTATCAATCTGAATTATTATAATAGAATCTTGAATTGATTCCGATATTTACAGTTTTGAATATGATTTATCTATATTATATTTATAGATTAAGACATTGAACATATTTATTTTAGCCAATTTATTATATATTCTCTATTTATGTCTTATTAAAAAATATTTATCTTTAACCATATTGGACAAAATTATTGTGAAGAAAGATAATAATTAATATATGTAATTTATTATTTAAGATAATTCTATAGAAGATCATATATTAGAGATAGAAAAATCTTATATTATATTTCTATGTTAAGTTTTCTATATTATTCAAGATAACAATCGAATTATTTATATTTATGTTGACTGAAATAATATAATATTTTGATAGAGAAAATAATATTTTAATATTGAAATTTCTTTTTGTATAATTCGGTAGAAATAAATGTCACGTTCAACAAAATTAAACAATTATCTATCAATATACAACGAATATTTGATTAATAGAATTAAGATTTTCAAATTGAATTTCTTTAATCTGAACTTGTTTTTCTGAAAATTGACATTTTACAAGATAGGTTTGTTTTAAATTTCATTAGAATAATAATAATAAAAATGACTGAAATAATAAACCTAATTGTATTAGCGTCTTCGAAGAGATTAAATTTTAATATATATGTTATGTCTCATAGATATAAATAATTTTCAATTGAAAATATTATATATCAATCAATTAATCTTAATCTGACTAAAAATGTTTCTTTACTCATTAATCATTATGCGTCTACTATTGTCCCACTCATTTAAATAATACGATTATGACGGCTATGTACGAATTGCGACCGAAAATTAAGCCAATTAAGAAAAAAGTGGTCGCAATTTGGAATGAATAATTTTACATTGATTTCATTTTTTATTCGATTCCAAATTGCTACCACTTTTGATTGATTAGTTATCGATGTGTATAATGATGAGTTGTACTGTAATGATAATGTTGATATATAAGCGTAAAAAAACGATCGCTAGTGAATATCATACAATGGATACGAAATTTGCTTGGTCAACAACCAAAAAAGGTGAACAAGCCATTCTATACAATAATTATTTATATCATTTAAAACGTGAAAATAAGAACACTTCATCACTTTATGTCTGCACTTTTAAATCGTGCTCTCGCTCTATTACATTGAAAAATAATGTAATTATAAAATCAAATGATGAAAATCATAATCATGAACCGAAATTATCAGAAAATGTTCAAAGAGTATTTTGTGGATTGAAACGTCGAGTATTAGACGATGTAGATCAGCCTATTACTATTTCTCATCGCTATATCTACATTATAAAAGATACTAAAGATAGTAGTGATGAAGAATAATTTTTTTTCTGTAGTCGTTTTTTCAATAAATTTTTTTCAATCAAAAGCGTTGACTAATTGATAATTTAAAAAGTGGTCTCAATTTGGAATCGAATAAAAAATGAAATCATCGTAAAATTATTCATTCCAAATTGCTACCGTTTTTTTCTTAATTGGCTTAATTTTCGGTATCAATTTGGAAGCTACGTTCTTTTCGGCTAGGATCATCATCTTCGCATTAGTATGTGCATATGACAAGTGAAATTTCTCAAACAAATTCACACTAACGATTGAAAAAATAAAAAGATTTAATATTAATTGTATTGAAAACGAGAAAGAATTATTTTTTTTTTATTAAATATAAATTGCGTTTGAAATGATATTCAAAATATCTGTTTGGACATTAAATCGGATTTTGAATATGTGATTGACACGAAAGATTTCGTCTATATTAGTGTTACAATATAATTTGTTATGAAATTCATTTTCTTATTCAGAATGATTTTTTTAAATATTAATATTTATCGTATTGAAAAGAACTACTCGATTGTCATTAGTATGCGAACATTCCTCTGTTTTTTTTCTTTCTCTATCGACTATTCATATGATATACGAATATATCCATCTGTACATATGTTCATGAATCAAAACGAACATAAAAGAAGATGGCTTAGAAGCGCTTGAACAAATCAATCGGAGAAAATTTATTTATCTTGTTCAGTTTTTCGAGCTCCTGCTAACGATGCCGTTTGTTCTTTTCCATTAATCTGCTTCACAAACAAGTATAGAGAAAAGGTTTGTTCAAACATTATCCATACAAGACGCAGAAAAACAAAATAAAATATCACCTTCTAAGTCCACTTTCCACATGACTTCGAACCAGGCATGCAGCCAGGAATTCTTAGGAGGGGGAAAAGATTGAAAGACTTGTGTTGTTCTTTTTGTGAAATTATTTCTTAAAAATATTTACTGATAATTTTGCATCTACTATTCATTCAAAACTACAGTGGACTGGGTTGTAAGTTGAATCATTCTAGAAAGAAAGTAGCTAAAGAGTTGAGGTTTTCGATTCGTAAAGAAAGTAAATAACTGTATTAAATTATATAAAATTCACTTAGTCATTTAATCCTTTGACAATTACTCAGGGGTCAAAAATTCTTTCGTACAATACTATTTCACAAATTTCTATTGCACTTTCATTTCTGATTCATCAAGATACTAGTTAGAAGCAAAATACGTGCACTTACCTATGCAGCCTAAGCGACTATTGATCGATTTAGAAATCACTTCAAACAGACGTAATCGAGCACGGTGAGCATTGTGATAATATCTGTTTGCCTCGGATTTTATTTTTGAGTTTGTAGTAATTGTTTGTGAAAAAGTCGATTTCAGAAATGTAACAATAGTAGAAATATTGTTGGACTTCAAACTTTAAAAATATTCTCAAAATAATATTCTTAATGTTATAAAGACGTGAAAAATCTATTGGCATCCTCCCAATCCTTTGGAAATTTCAAGGTTTTCTAAAAATCATGCGATAGTTCTTTCGATTCTAAGTATTTGTCTCATTTATGAATCGAGTTTGGCATATCGTTTTGAGCGTATCCTAAAAGTTTGAAATTCAACAATATAGAAACGAGTCTCTCATAAAAGTCCCATTCTATTATCGTTACATCGTTGAAATCGACTTTTTCACAAACAATTCCTACAAACTCAAAAATAAAATCCAAGGCAAAAAAATATTATCACAATGCTCACCGTGTTTAATTACGTCCGTTTGAAATGATTTCTAAATCGATCAATAGTCGTTTAGACTGCATAGGTAAGTGTACGTATTTTGCTTCTAGTATCTTGATGAATCAGAAATGAAAGTGCAATAGAAATTTGTGAAATGGCATTGTATCTAACAATCTTTGACCGCTAAGTAATCGTCACAGAATTAAATGACTAAGAAAATTTAAAAATTTTCAACTACATGATTTGAGACAAGAAAAAGAGGAACCGTCCCTACATAATCATAGGTCTCATGCGAGCGGGAGGTGTACACTACCCCCAATAATCGAAAATTTTTGAACTTTTCCAGAGGGGAAAGTGTTGAGTTTTTCGTACATTTCACATTATTTATACGGAATCTTTTCGAACATACTCTGTTACAGTCCGCTAATTGTCTTTACATCCGCCTTCCGTCCCCCGATCTTCGATCCTTCGCGCGGGGTCTGCATTATCCAATCTAATACAATCAAGCAGTTTATTTTTAAAATAATACAATAAATTGAATTTATCTAAAACTTTTAAGGCAAATGAGGTGTAAAGTGATTGAAAGAACAGATTATGCTATAACTCCAGATAATACTGCTGAACTTTAAAACTCATTTATGCTCTATCGAAACTTATATTGTTTATTATTTAGCTTTTGTTTCTTGTCATTATTCGTATGGAAAATTTTTCTTTTCGTTTTGTCATGAGTAAATATATAAATCATCGTAGCTGAAATAACGAAAAAAAAATCATTTTTGACTGGAATAGTATATTGAATTTTTTTGGTTAAGATTACATCATACAGCGCGCTTATATTATAGGATAATACTCAGTTTTTTGCGCTCTTTCCAAAGATGCCAAGCTTGCGAATTAGACTTTTAATCAATGTTTTCCGATCAGTTGATATGAAACACGTCCAAATATAGAAAAACAATAATAAGCACTACAAATAATGATTTTTCAAACAACATGAAATTTTTTTATTTAAATGCTTTCTGAATTAGCAGAAAAACTCACTATATTAGGTTTAGCTGCATAATTACAAATCAATAAAGCTAATAAGAATTAAACTAATTTGTATTAATACGAGACTTCTTACGAAATAAAGACTCCGAAGGCTCATAAAATCGCTTAACTGCATCAGAGTAAGAATGTGTCTTGTTTCACAATATATCTAAAAAATTATCATAATCACGTAAATAATACAAACAATAGACGAATAATTGATCTTCAACCATTGTTCATCGAGTACGTTGACTATACTGACATCAACAAATTGAAAAAAAATTGTATTGTGCAGTACTCATGACTAAAACTAAAGTACGCAATTTGAACTATTTTTTTATTTTTAAAAATATCAAATGATATTTATTTTTAATTAGAATAGTACATTTAATCGCAAAAATTTTTCGATAAATAACAATTTTATGTCGATATTTTTAGAAAATCACCAAAATTGCTGCTACGATTTTGCAGACATGAGGTGATTTTAAAATAAAACAAGTATGATGCATTTATAAAATGATTCATGATGACTACTTAATAATTATCACCTTTAAAAATATGGTTAATTGTATCGACTCTTGGCTTCTATAAGGTCATAGCTATAAATAATACATAATAAATACCTTTTATTGCATTAGAAAAATATATAAGAGCAAAAAGCATCAAAACAGAAAAAAAATCAAAATTTGACCCTGAATTCCAGACCAAAGAAGTATAATGATTGAGTTATTATTTGAGAAATATTCATTATCGAAATATAGTGCTCGAATCATAGCAAGCAAACGACACATTACGTGAATTGTTGATCGATTATAGTATTATTAAGATTTCAAAATCACTTATATTTATAATAGATTTAAACAATTCGATAAAAACCGATATATATATAATCTCATATCGAATAATTGATAAATAATTTCATGAACAATCGGACATAATTATATATTTTTTCGATCGAATTTCAAAAATTTTCGAATCAAATCACAGCGAATTTAATCAAATATGTCTCTCCGTCGTCTTCCAACTGCCATATATTGATAATAATAAAAAATTGTTAGCAATTGCTGTCTAATAGATCGAATTTCAAAATAAAATGATGCATTATGTTTCATGGTTGCTGATTATATTTAAAAAAGTCTGCATGTTAAACATGAAATTGAATAAACTGTATCAAAAATTAGGAAGGACTATTATTCTCTCCAGACATAATTATCTTTATCGTCACACGGACTTCTTTTCTATTCATATTCTCCATCATTTAACCATGGCAAAGTAATGCATACTTGTCTTTTTATTACTTAATGTTTATCTTTTCTTTTCGTTCTTTGTTTTAACTACAGAATAGGATTGCCTATACAATTATATTTACGTGCGAATAATGTTCGACAACTGTTATTTCTTTGTTTTTACACGTGAGTTGAACAATAATGTCGTTTCATAATTAGTAGGTTTTTTTCTCGTCATAGTTTATCCTTCTCCATAATAGGTTTTAATTAATCGTATTACTGCCTTGAATGATTGTTAAAATGACTCATAACACATAATGATTCGCATACAATAAAAATTTGTTTAATACTAATGCAGAAATATTTTAATCGTATAAATAATATTATTATAACGTATTGTACTCCGATTGAATAAGTTTAAGTAATTGACTGTACTTTGAAATTCATTACTTGATTATTTAATTTCGATTTTCACAGTTAAAGACGTTTTCATTAATTCAAAGAAGATATATTTCTGTATTAATTTAGGTCAATGATACGCTCTGTTAGATCTACTCTATAAATAGTTGTAGTAATACGAATAATCAAAACAGTATATCACATATTCTATTGTAAAAGTGTGTGTACATTTTTTTTTCTATAGAATCAAAGCCCATGTCATTTTTTATGTATTCTATAAACAATTCGACTGATATTAATTTAAAAACTGAGTTGTAAGCTCAGCTAGATGTAAAGATGCTTTTTTATTTTTATTTTGAATAGTTTCTTGAGTTTTCTCAATAGATACTAATCAATGAATACAAATAATCGAGAAAAAAAGTATCTTGTTTGTGAGAGTCGAATATGAAAATTTCATTAGGAATGTTAGAAGTACTATTAAGAATTGCAAAATTGTAGATCTGATCGATTCTACTACTGCCCTCTTTTATCAACATTTTATATTTTTGCATTTCTAAAAAAATTTTAATAAATAAAAATTTCTACATCTAGTTTTCTTTGTTTCAACGAAAATGTTTCATATAATTCAACGACAAATAAAAATATTTCTCCTAATTACATGTTACTGTTTCAATTTCATAAGTAAGTCAATAAATTTCTTCGAAAACGAAAACATGATGAATATTAGTTGGAGGTTCTGATCAACGTCGTTTATTAAAATATCTATTGATTGATAATCAATACAATCCAATTGAACGACCTGTTCAAAATGACTCTGACACATTATCTGTCACTATAAATTTGGCTTTACAAAACATCGTTGATTTTGTAAGTGAGATGAAATACATGTTTTTCATGTTTTTTTTTCGATTTTGATATATAAATAGGATGGAAAGAACGAAGCTATTGTTATTAGTGGCTGGATGACTATCGTATGTGTACTAAATTATAATTAGGCATGCAATAGTGACGAGAAATTACCACTTTCATTGTCATTGGTTTACTGTTTCAAAACGGTAACCAGTCCTTACCGGCATTAAACTTATACCAGTTTACGGCGGCATAGATCAGTCTATATCAGCTTATACTTGTTTATATCGGCCTATACCGGTTGGGGATGTACTCGATTTTTTGAAATTATAAATTTGATTTTTTCCATCGGGAACAGGACCTCTTTCGAAAGTAGTGATTGTTCATAAAGCTTAATCAAATATAATCGGGGTCGAGGAATCAGAAACTGCAATTAGGTTTTCCAAGTTTTGAGTTTCATGGTTTTTGCAAAAAAAAAATTTTTATACAAAGTTTTATTTCTATAAAAAACTATTGCTTCACGAAAAAATCATTTTCTTAGTAAAAAATGTCTTATTATGTAAACAAATGATTTTTTAAAATTTGGTTAACAAAAAAAAATTATTTTTTTTACTAAGAAAATGTTTTATTGCAAAATATGAAACATTGAATTTCGAGAAACCAATGACAAATTTGGATGTTTTCATTCCAGTTGCTTTTGGTCAATTTTTATAAAAAAAAGTCTTTTCCTAACGAAAAAAATGAAACTCAGAATTCTGAAAAACGAGCTTGACCGTAAGCCCCCATGGGCAAGTATTAACCGGTGCTAGCCTAATACCGGTTACCTATGGAACGGTTAACAGTAAGAGTGGATTATCGCCATCATTGCATGCCTAGCTATAGTATCTGATCTTATTGTTCATATATATATCTGCATAGATGTGGAATGATTATAATTTAAGATGGAAACCAGAAGAGTTTGGCAATATTCAAACACTACGAATACCAAGTACACAAATTTGGGTACCAGATATTCTCCTATACAACAGGTTACTATTTTTCAAAGAAAAGATATCCCAAAAAAAATAATGTTTGTTTTTGTTTTAAGTGCCGATGACAAGTTTGATGCTGCAATGAAAGTTAATGCCGTTGTACAACATAATGGTGACATACTATATGTTCCACCAGTATTATTCAAATCAACTTGTCCATTTGATATTGTTGCATTTCCATTTGTAAGTATCAAAACAATGTTCCAATTATATCGTACTTTTATCTTGAATGTTTGTCTTTTTTTGGATACACAACATTGTACACTGAAATTTGGATCTTGGACATATGATGATGCTGGTATGTGATGAAACCATTTTTTTTTCTTCTAGAATGAAATGCCAATTTTTTCTGTATGTTATATGCTTTTTTATTACTTAGGAGTCAATCTGACGGCAGAAAGTAGCAAAGGTCAATTAGATGCATATGTCAAAAGTGCCGAATGGGATCTAGAAGGTAGTCGATATGGGTTATGTACCTTTTGTTCTATTCATTCTGTTTTAGATTTTTCTGCTACGAGCCATCGCACCAAATACGACTGTTGTCCAAATGTGTATCCATACGTACTATACACTATCCGAGTGCGTCGACGTTCTCTTTATTACTTTACAAATATCGTTGGTAATAAAATATAAATTACAATATTTTTTATTATCTTTGCAATAATATTATTGTTTTTTTTTGTTTCTTAGTACCTTGTTTTCTTATTAGTTGTATGATACTACTAGGAATTTTATTACCACCAAATAGTGGTGATAAAATAAACTTACGTGAGTTAGAATTTGATGATAAAAATTCTGTTCTTATATATTCTAAATCTTCAGAGATTACAACTCTTCTAACTGTTGTTATGTTCAGTTTACGTCTATCAGAAATTATACCACCAAATTCAAATGCTATACCGGTTATTACTATTTATTTTATGTGTGTTATGATCACGTCAGCGTTTTCAGTTGTTGCCTCAGTGTTGGTTTTATCACTTCATTTTCGAAACTCTAAAAGTCATAAAATGCCTTTATGGGTAAATTATATTGGAAAATAAGTAAATTACATGATTTCAGAAATCATTTCAGGTTCGTAAGTATATTTGTAATTATTTGGCGTGGCTATTACTTATGAAACGTCCTGATCATAATTTGAGTTGGCGCGGAATTGGTCGTCGATGGGCTTCTCCAAAACAAGAATCGAGTAATATAAATGGATTGATCGATAATCATCATTCTAAGATAGCTTCTGAACCATTGTTGAATAATACATTCGAATTGTTATCGACCAACCTTATGAATATTGATAGAAAAGCTTTTGAATTGTTAGAAAATCGAGAAAAACAAGGCTCACATTCGCTATTAGAATTTACTGTACCTTTAACAACGAAAATTCACGGTTTTCGTCATCGTTACAACAGATCGAAAGAATTGGAAATGATTCGTTCTGAGTTACGTATTATTATTTCTCAACTTACTATTCTTACAAGTTATTCTCAGAAAGAAGAGAGAGAAGATGATGAAGCTGAAGAATGGAAATTTATGGCAAGAGTCATCGATCGTCTTTGTCTAGTGTGTTTTGCTGTAGCCATGATTCTTTTTACTGTATTTACTTTTTTCAATGTTGAACTTTCTTTTTAATTTCAATTTATTTTTTTAAAGTTACTATTGAGCCACGCTTTATCCTAATCTATTCTTTTGTCTTATATGTGTATATTTTAATAAATTCTACAGAGAAAATATTCTTAAGTGTATACAAACTATTCGATGAATGAAATCGAGCTACATTACATACAAAATGAATTTGAACAGCTTAGAATGAATTAATGATGTCTTATCGGATAGCATAGATTTTTTCTTTCAATAAAGATGAATTCTTGACATGAGATAGTGCCAATAACAGTTTGGTCTCTAACAGTGTTTTATTTCAATTTTATTTATGATTGTCGTGAAATTAATGACATATTTGATTGTTTTTCGATATTTGAATACAAAAAACACACAACAAGATTATATTTTCAATTTCACTTACAAAGAATATTACAAAAAGTTAATTTTTTGATACTTTGATTCTATTTCAAGCAAGAGTGAGTTTCATCAATATTTAATCACTTAGGCAAAACGAAGTCAATAGGCTTTCTATGTTCCTTGTTTGCAATTATCTCAACTATTATTATAGATTTACATTTTCAAATCAAAGCTTTTGATTTTATTTCTTTTTCTTTTTCAATAGTAATGAAAAATTTTGTTAATATTAAATCTTCAATCTTTTCAGTCATCGTTAGAACTCGATATGTCTAAAAGATAATGTAAAGATGTATAATTCAAAATCATAAATATAGCCAATGCTGTTGATATAACTTGATTCATTATTATCAACTCATGACATAGTATAAATAGTTTTTTCTATTGAGAGAAACAATTCATTGTTTTAACTGAACAAAAAAAAAGACAATGGTCAAGATGGTGATCGTGGTCGTTGCTCAAATTATATCAACAACATCGGTTCTAAATATCATTGTGAATTATAGATATTTACATCCTTCATTATATACATCAAGTTCTGATAATGATCGAAAAAACCAAAAATTTAACATTAAAAAACTTTTTTCATTATTATTGATAAAGAAAAAATGAAATTAAAAATTTCTAATTTGAAAATTTGAGCCTATAAGTATTGTTGCTCAAAATGATCCATAAATTGTCATTAGAAAATGCATGCTTAATTTATGTTCATCAGTTATTCTTATCCAGAATAATATTTTAACAACATGTATAATTCTTACAAATACAATTATCGTTTATCCATCAATTCAGACCGCACTGACATTAAACTAAAGAATACTATCGTTCAAGCTTTTACTTCTCTCATAATTCAATTAGGCGCCTCGAAAGCTTATCTCATCCACATATCCAATTGTTCATTACCATAAATAGTTAATACGATTATAATACTTTCGATTTCTACATTTAAAGAAAAAATCTATGAAAATTCAGCAATGAAAAGATATTGAAAACATGTGACCGATCAAATCTATAGATATTTTATGACGAATGCAGATGTTTTGAATGTGACATGTTCCTTTTCGAATCAAGTTCTTACTTGGAGTTCATCGAAGTACTAATGATCCAGAAATCACCTTAACTACTGTAGGTCTAACTAACTTTCGGCTTCAGTTCGAGCAACATAATTCGTCAACACACAGTTGATACGAAAGACTCTATGTCATCATCTCGCCTTTAAGTGACATTTGTCATGTGGCAAATATTGGAATACTTATAGCGATAAACTACGATTGACTGAAGATTTCTTTAGAAACATAGAGGAAGCAACTACAATGATCGGAAAGTCGTATACAGAAAAGTCTTGTGTTTGATGCGACGAGTACCATTCCCTTGCCTCTTATTGTTGAAAACTATCCAATAGCCTAGTTCAGCATATAAATTATAGTTTTATTCACTCGATAATGAAAAAAACAGAAAAAATGAAATGAATATAGATACTATTACAAAACTACATTTTAGGGAGATCGTTGCTGATACAAATCTGAGATGATATCTAAGGCAATAAAAACTTGATAGTTAAAATGATATTAATTTTCAATGTATCTTTGAAAAAAATCGTGCTTATGATCTGTTTCTGAGAAGTTTGAAACGTTTTCAATGTCACAGCTATAGACAATCATCCAGTTTCTTTTCTGTTTATCAAAGAGGTCTGCTTTACTTTTCGCAATGTTCTGAATCCTATTCGCTCATTTGCTACAGTTAGTATAGAAAAAACTTTTGTTTTTAAAATTTTTTCGATTATCACTTTCGTAATAGTCTAGATAGTCTAGTATAAACATAATTGTTTTGTGAATTGTAGAGCAGTTCTACTGTTTTTGTTTGTTTCTTCGGTATATAACGCTATCAGTGAATGTTGGTATCATGAAGATGAAAAAAACAAAAATGAATTAGAGTGATAAACTGTAATCATGACGCATCTGAAATAATATTACGATAAAGTACTCAATATTCTAACATTTTCAACTATACACCTTGCAATTCTAAGAAGTGATATAATTAATAACATGTAGAAAAATGTCAACATTTTATCAAGTCGATAATTCTGTTTTTCCAAGACCGTTTTAACTCGTACTTCCAGTATATATTCAACATGAGTATGACTATGTGTAAGAAAAATCTTACCTCGTTTTAAATTACCATAGATGAGATAATGGTTTTTCTGAGACGATGCCTAGTATAGCTGTAAGAGTAAAAATATTCGATTTCCTCAGAAACATGCCACAAGCAAAAATTTTCTTTAGGGTAGACATAGTTCACTAATGTCTACAAGATGCACCAACTTCAAATTGAGAAGTGCTTCGGCATCTGGGAATTTTTCCTTGTAAGTACCGTTGAGTAGCAAGTGTCGCCAAAGGATCTGTCTGGGAAGCAATATTCGTATTATCCACAGCGATGTTATTTTTATTTATATTATAAATATTACTTTTGGTATATTATTTGCTAATACAACTAACATATTTGTTTCATTTAATTCTTGTCAAAAGGAAAATTATTTGTACATATACTTATGCGAGAAAGAATGTCAATTTTTTTTTAGAATTAAAACTAAGCTGTTGTATCATTTTTGTTTACGAAGAACTAGGCTATAAAATTTTCGATAGAATCTGATAAATATCGTAGTGAATTCGCCTTAAATTGTGTTGAATGAAAAAGATTTTTTCAATTTAAAAGAGCTCTGTTTCGTCTTAATAACTATTCTAATATACCATAGTTATTATTTGAGGCTGACCGCAACAAAGAAAAGAAAAACACCAAACGATTTCAAAGAAATGCTTTTTTTACTAAAAGATAATAGTTCAGTCAAACGCAATAATTTAAAAAATGCGTGTATATGCCCAAGATACTCTTACATGATATGCGTGCGAATGCATCATAGAGTGAACTATATTCGCGATTGTATGCAATGGAAATATGTGCATGAAAATGCATTTTATTATCGTATGAGCACAAAAAAAAAATTCTACAATGACCAAAAAACGAAGTATATGTAGCAATCATACATAATCATATAGTAGTCTTTCTTGCAGAAGTGGAATTCAAACATACGTGCTTTGTTTTACATGACGAAACTGGTCAGCATAGGATTATCTACTTACATCAGACTGTGTAATCGAAATAGAAGGATATTATGATAGTCAAATAAGTATACGGTATGTATGCACATGAATGCTAATAGCTGTGAAAGAGTTAGAAAAGTGGGTAAGATTTTTTGATTGAATATAGTTTGATTATATATGCTGAACTTGTAAGAACGATAGTTGATCGACTGGTACATTTGTTCATGCAGCTCGGAAGGGTTATTTTCAGCTTCAGTATGTTACACTACATCTCGAAAACATCAATTATCAGTCGATCAACTAATATTATTGAAAGTTAAGTATATTCTCTCGTGTAACGTATGCGAGATTTTTATTACTCTGCCGAGTTTTCTCCAACTTTTGTATTGGAAACACGATCAGAAACTTTTTTTGATACTCATATTCTTGTAGACTGTGTCGAACTTAATCAAATCATTCAAAAGTATCTAGAAATTAATATTTCGCTCAATTTTTAACCCTCAGACGTTACAGGAATATTTTGTTATTACCAAAAACTGTAGAATTCAGAATGCTTAGCCATACTTAATAAAGAACCTATAACTTTTCATGATCTCGATAGAATTTGAACTATTTTCTTTTCAAATAATAGATTTAATCTCACTCTACAACACTGTATTTCAGTCAGCTATTTACATATATATAAGTATTTTGTATTCATAAATCCAATAGACAGAGAAGAAGGGTCGGAGCTTTTAAATGATACTTTAGTTTTCATAAATACGAACTTTTCACATTGGCATGTAGTATTTAGTAAAGTTACAATCATCGTGTACATGCACGCAAATAACACTTTACCATATACATGCGAGTATTTTCAATCATCAGAAACATTTATGATTGCATCTATGTAAGTAGTTGTCAAACACACAACAAATAGAAATATTGATCGGTTGACAAAAAGGTAAATACAGTTAATTTATAGAATGTTTTTTATTTTTAGAAATCATATCAAAAGAAATGCATGATCTCACTGAACAATTACGAAAAGCTCGAATAGATGATGATTTTATTGAAACTGATCTTCATGTGCGGACAGACATGTTAGAACAACTTAAACATAATATTAATAATTCTTCATCCTCGATGATTCTTAGTGGAGATCCAACAAAATTACTTGTGGCTAAAATATTTGTTTCTTCAATTGTGTCACAACATTTAGAAAAAGATGAAAGATTTGGAAAATCCTTTGGTAATGTATGCATTGCAGAGAATGGCCATTTGGCTTATCATGAACTTGATACAGATGATGCATTTGTGTGCGGAATTCAGGAATATGTATCGGGCAAATATAAAATTCGATTTGTTATGAATAAGGAAAATTCAAGATATTTTATGACGTTTAATATTATTTCCAAATCTGTGCCGGTACTCAAAAAAGAATTCCAAGTAAAAGAATCAATTTAGAGTGTGAATGCCGGTGTCAGTATTGATGGGTGAACGTGGATGTGAATCTTTTCTTCATCCACATCCACACCACACGTCGCCCTCTTCTTCAATTAGTGGTTTCCTGATTGCGTGATAGATGAGTCTACGTCTCCTTCTGATAGAACAAGTGCGCAATGTTCTATCTGTATATCAGCGTTTCTCAAAGTAGTAATCTCAGCTCGTATTTATTCATTGTTTCATGGCGACCGTATTATGTGTCTGAGAGCACATTCGAGTCACGTGTTTGCAGATGATTATAGTATGCCCATTAATTCTTAGATCAGCAGAAATTTCTAAAAACTACTAACGACTGGGATTTCATGAACTTCGGTTGAAAGTAGTCAAAAAAAGTGGGCCTGAAATTTCAAGGTGAAAAGTTTTTAGTTTAGATCGAAATTGACTTCTAATACTTGGTTGACTTTTTGTGAGCATAATAGATTCATTTGCCATGCTGTGAGTCTCTCAGCATACAATGAGAATGTGTTAATTCAATATTTAGGGCTAGGATTCTGACAGCAATTGGGAACTTTGTCAGTTAAAAAACTCCAGGTTCATAGGCCTTGATCATCAAAATCGTTAAAAACACCAATATAGATCAGTTTTAGTGTCCCATGTAAATCAATTAAAAAGAAGACAAAAACCAGTGACAACCGACCGGCTTTAAGAGTTCAATCGGACTGGGCCTATAACCGGTAGATCTGTCGGTCCAGTACCATTTTTCCATTTCCCTCTCAAATATGAATTGAAATATGTTAACAATGACAAAAAACAGCAAGAAATTCTATAGAAATTTCAATCTCGCTTTGCAAATTTTTTCATCAATCATGAAGTCTTAAAAGTGACTTCTAGAGTTGATTGCACTTTTACCCTTCATAAATGTTATCAAACTTTAAAAAAATGTTCATCATTGTGACTACATACCTTTTGAGTCATTAAGAATTCTTGGAAAAAAGCAAACGAAAATGTTTAATATCCTTAAATGTAATTCTTTGATACGAATCCTATTTATCAACTCGCACTATTGACTAACGACTCATAAAAAAAATGATAAGAAAATATTGTATCCTAACATAACCAGCGAAAAAGCAAGAAGACAAAGAAAAGAAACATTTTTTTTTTCGTATTGCTATGAAAAGATGACTCATCTCGACTTTTAGATTCGTTTGTTTTCAAACAAACTTCTTACAAATATATTGACACTAGATTTTTCCTGTGTAACAACGATATTCACATTATTACGATAGAATTCCATTTCATATCAGATGGGTAACAAATCATTCGTTCAAAGCATCGAAGACGAACAATCTGTAAGCACATATAATGATAAAAATAAAGAAAGTATAATACTTATTTGGTTTGATCCAAATATTGGATTAAGTGAAGATACTGAAAAAACAAAACAACAACTTTGTCTTATTATTGATTATGTCAGTTTTTCTTCTGACCTTGAACAATGTATTACATTTATTCAATCAATTAATAAAGAAAAAATTTTTTTAATTACATCAGGAGCAAAAGCATCAGAAATTTTATCTCGAGTTTCTTCTTTTGATCAAATTGATTCAATTTTTATCTTTTCTATGGAAAAAGAGCAATATAATTATGTAATAAATGATTGCAGAAAAACTATTGGAATTTATATGAATCTTGATGATTTATGTAAATCAATAAAAGAACAAATTGATCTTGTTGATAGACAAATTCAAACATTTTCCTTTTTTGATCAACATCAACTGCTGACTGAAGATTTATCGAAAGAATCAGCAGAATTTCTTTGGTTTCAATTATTCAATTATGTTATTGCGCAGCTTCCACGAGATCAACAAGCTAAACAACAAATGATTCAAATATGTAAAGACTATTATCGTGAAAATACAAAAGAAACGGAAATAATTCATGAGTTTGAAACAAATTATCGATCAAAAGATGCAATTCTTTGGTATTCAAAACATTCATTTGCATATAGATTACTTAATAAAGCTTTAAGAACCAAAGATATTGATTTATTATATAAATTTCGACTTTTTATTGGTCATTTATCGGAAAATCTTCAACGTGAACATGAAAAGATTTTATTATCAAAAGAAAAAACCTTAAATGTTTATCGAGGGATTAAACTTGGCGAAGAAGAATTCAATAAACTAAAAGAAAATCAAGGTCAACCTATTTCAATAAATGGATATTTATCAACTAGTCGTCTAAGATCATATGCATTAGGTTGTGCACATAAACGAACAAAAAGAACTGATGTTGTTTCTGTTCTTTTCCATATTCAATGTGATATTCAACAAATTGATAACAACATTAGTTTTGCCGATATTGATCAATATAGTGATTATCCATTGGAGCAAGAAGTCTTATTTGATTTAAATGCTTGTTTTCAAATTGAATCTATTGAAGAAATTGAATCATTAAAAATAATTAAAATGAATCTTTCGAATAAAGGTCAAAATATTACTAAAGATTTTATTGAATTAACACAAAAAGAAACAGAAGGAATGACTATTTTCATTATTTTTGGAAGACTTTTGTGTGATCTAGGTGAATATGATAAATCACAAAAATATTTTCAACAATTATTCAATGATTCAAATGGTGAAGATCTTGCATGGATTGAATTTAATATCGGTCGAACTCTTGATTATAAAGGTAAATGGAATGAAGCTCGAGAATATTATGATCGTGCATATGATCGAATGATGAAGAATAAACCAGCACGAATTAAAGATTCTGCTCGTATTCTCAATAATATTGGTGTTATTCTCGATAATCAAGGAAAATATGATGAAGCTCTTGATTATTATCAACGAGTATTGAAAATTCGAGAAGAATTGTATTCATTTGATTATGCAGATATTGCTACAAGCCTTGAAAATATTGGTATTATTTTCTGTAAGCAAGAAAAGTACAATGAAGCTCTTGATTATCATAAACAAGTATTAGAAATTCAACAGAAACTCTATCCATCTAGTCATATCAATATTGCTACAAGTCTAAACTACATTGGCACTATTCTCTGTAATCAAGGGCAATACGATGAAGCCCTTGATTATCATCAACAAGCGTTGAAAATTCAACAGAAATTCTATCCATCTGGTCATGTTAAAATGGCTTATAGCCTTCACAACATTGGTGCTATTCTCTATGATCGAGAAAAGTATGATGAAGCTCTCTATTATTATCAACAAACTTTGAAAATTCAGGAGAAATTCTATCCATCTGATCATGTCGATATTGCAACAAGTCTCGAAAATATTGGTATTATTTTCTGTAAGCAAGAAAAGTACGATGAAGCTCTTGATTATCATAAACGAGTATTAGAAATTCAACAGAAACTTTATCCATCTAGTCATATCAATATTGCTACAAGCCTTAACTACATTGGTATCATTCTTCGCAATCAAAGACAATATGACGAAGCCTTTGATTATAATCAACGAGCATTGAAAATTCAACAGAAACTTTATCCATCTAGTTATGTTACAATGGCTTGTAGCCTCAGCAACATTGGTGCTATTCTCTATGATCAAGAAAAGTATGATGATGCTCTCGATTATTTTCAACAAGCATTGAAAATTCGAGAGAAATTTTATCCATCTGATCACGTCATCATTGCTACAAGTCTCAACAACATTGGTATGGTTCTCCGTAATGAAAGAAAATATGATGAAGCTCTCGATTATCATAAACGAGCATTGGAAATTCTACAAAAGTTGTATCCAACTGGTCATGTCGATATCGCTCAAAGCTTTAACAACATTGGTGAGATTCAGTATTGCCAAGAAAAGTATGATGTCGCTCTCTATTATTATCAACAATCATTGAAAATTCTAGAGAACTTTTATCCAACTGGTCATATCGACATTGCTGGAAGTCTCAACAAAATTGGTATTGTTCTCAATATTCAAGGAAAGTATGTTGAAGCTCTTGATTATCACGGGGAAGCATTGAAAATTGAGAAAACATTTTATCCGTCTGGTCGTTTCAATGTTGCAAGAATTCTCAACAACATTGGTAGTATTCTTCGTAATCAAGGGAAGTACGGTGAAGCTCTAAATTATCATCAAAGCGCATTCAAAGTTCAAAAAAAATTTTATCCATTAGGTCATATCGATATTGCTCATAGCTTTAAGAACATTGGTGACACTCATTTTGATCAAGAAAAATATGATATAGCTCTCTATTATTATCAACAAACTTTGAGAATTCGAGAGAAATTCTATCCATCTAGTCATGTTGGTATTGCCTTCAGCTTGAATGATATTGGCCTTTGTTATGAAAACCAAAACAAACACAACGTGGCACTTGACTATTATCAGCATGCATTGACTATTTATGAGAGATTTCTTCCTGTTGACGATCTACGTCGTCATGGAACCAGACAAAAAATTCTTGAACTTACTGGAAAAAATTAAAATTCACTAAAAAATGACACAGTAATAACTCAAATTTTAATAACAATGTAAAGTTTTTTGTTTTTTTCGTTCGAAGATTTTTTTTCTAGTAATTGTGAATATTCGATGTTTTATCGTATCATTGATTTTAGCAAGTAGAAAGTACTCGATTGAATTTCGTTTAGTAAATATGGAGGTAGATGTATAATAGATTTTAAATGATGATTATCATTTATTTTTTTTTGTCAATGAGTTACGATAAAAAATACTTTTCTCTTACTTAACAATCAATATGAAAAAATTGAATTGAAATCTAACTTATTTTGATTGATTTAATTAATATATATTCTTGGGAAAATAACTATTCATTTATTCGAAATGAGAAAGATTATTTAATAAAATTCATCTTAATAAAGAATGTTTTTACACCTAATTAAAATCTTTAAGTTTGATTTGTTGTGAATTGTAGAAAATATCCTTCGAATAAAATCGATTTCTCTGAAATGAAGAAATATTTGAGTAAGTTTAGATAAATTTTTCTATATGAAATTCATTGCTAATTGGTTATAAGCAGATAAAAAGAAATTAGAAAAAGGTAATTTCTTACAACAATGTTAAAAGCTTATGTGTTAATACAATAGGTATTTTTATGAAACAAAAAAAAAACACGAAAGTTGGTTGGTGCTTTGATAGATTATCAAATAGGTTTTGAAGATATTTCTATTCATCATGTTCGATAAATATTTCGTTATATGTGATATAATTCTTTTTCTTTAGAGATCATTCATTACGGATGTCCAGATAAAGAATTGCAAGGAAAGAAAGGCGTCCGTGAAAACTGAAGAGAGTGTAGGGAAGATCAAACAATTTTTTCATATAATTTTCTGCAAAATTTTCATTTTTAATTTGTTTTGAAGAGAAGTTTTAAATAGTAAATGAACTAAATACGAATTAGCTGAATATGAGTTTAATATTGACATAATTCAAGATTATGCTACGTGATCAGATAGTTATATTGTGAAGCAGTAAAATTAAAGTTGTCATATTTTCGAGTGCCATTGGTATTGAACGTTCTTTTTTATTTTTTTTCATATTTTTTGTTCATTAACAGACAGTATATTTAAAAAAGAAAACTTTGCTCTAGGTTATATTTTTGCTTGTTGTTTTTATTAAATGTGTGTTTTGTATTTTTTTTTCTTGATATACATATATTTATGGGTTACATGAATTTCGACCCGGTCCGAAATTCCGGTGAATTTTCGGCCCATCCTTAGAATGATCTCATTGACCCCTAAAAAAAAAGTTTAATTTTTTTAAATTAATTGCTAGATATTGTAGTGCTGAGCAGGACGACATGTTGCTGAACAGGATGACGTGTTGCTGAGCAGAACGGCATAGTGCTGAGCGGGACGACTTACTGCCAAGCAGGACGATATGGGCGTGGACATGGCTGTGGACGCCGGTTAACGCAAAAAAGATACGAACATACCACATACGCCTGCACCAACCCTAGCACCCCACAAGCTTACACCTACACCCACACCCATGGTATTCTGCTCAACACTGCGCCACGCCGTCCTGATCAGCACCACGTCCTCCCGCTCAGCACTACGTCATCCTGCTCAGCACTATATCATTCTACTCAGTACGGCGTCCGGCTCAACAAAACGCCGTCGCCCTCAGCACCAGATCGTCCTGCTCAGCACCACGTCGTCCTGCTCAGCCCTATGCCGTCCTACTCAGCACTACGATATCTAGCAATTAATTAAAAAAATTAAACCTTTTTTGTAGGGGTCAATAAGGTCATTCTAAGGATGGGCCGAAATTTCTCTAGGACTTTCGGCCCGGCCCGAAAATTCACTGGAATTTCGGACTGGGTCGAAAGTCTGGGCCGAAAATTCCATGGGCCGAAATTCTGGTCTCCCATATTTATTTCTATTTTTGATATATTTATTTAATGTAATGTTATTTAATGAAAAAGAAGTAGTGTATTTGAAAATGCAGGCTTTTTCTGAAAGTCTTTTTTTTTTATATTAGACATACACGAGGGCAGGGCTTCGATGAAACTAAACGAATCCGAACAAAGGATATGGAGGATAATCAAAAAATGCTATTTTTATCTGTATTTCCTTAATGGATAAATCCTTGCAGGAATAAATGAAAATAGTAACGTTTGGTTAGATATGATTATTTTCATGAATAGAAGTTTCTTGTAGAATTTTTTTAAATAATTTAAACTTGTAGTTGAATCCTGTGAATATTAACCGTTTCATCAGTGACATAAACAGAAATGTAAACGCTCAGCTCCCAGTCTTGTTGAACTTCTGTCAGACGTTGATCACTTTTATATACGTGGAATTGTGATATTATTAAATTCAAAGACTAACATAGTATAGAAGCTAAAAGATCATATGTGCACATTGGCTTAGAGGTCTGCAAAATCATTTTTTTTCGGATCCGGTTAAAACTTTGTATTGCTTTGAATCGTACTTTTTTCTAAAAAAAAAGGCAATTTTTCGCTGGATTAAGCCTGTATTTTCAGGTTTATGCTTGGATTCCTAATTAGTAATAAATTTTTGTTTTGAAATATAGAAAAGTACAATAACAACACTAAAGAGTTCATGATATAAACAGAAAAATCACGATAAAAAGTGCACAATCAAAAGAATAGTTAAACTGCTATCGAACCAAATTGATGTATATTGTACCAATTTGTCTATTTGAAAAAAATTGATTCTTGAAAACAGACTCGAGATCAGTGAAAGGCTTTTATCAAAATTGTAAATGATATTGGCAGATTTGTAGATTCTTAGTAACAACAATACAATAAATATGAAAATGCATGCCATATTTCTTGATAAACAAAAAAGGCGCCAATACCAGCTTGAGAGGCTATAGTTCCCGAAGCCGGTGCCGGCGGCATCGGTACCACTTTGCAGATCCCTATACTGACTATTCTAGATGCATTACCAGCCAGGTCATATATAAGAACAAAATATCATGAAATCCAAAAAAGATAACTATTTCCTTTGAGTGTAATCTAACTACTTTTGTGAATCTCTGAAAAATAATCAAGAAGCTGCTCAAAATATATATCTATATCTTGTTCAGTTGTCAACAAACAAAGGTTGCTCAAAGGGATCAACTGATGAACATATAATATCCGATAGATAATAATAAGGACGACGACAACCACGCTAAGCATGTTGAGAGCTTTGTGATTGTGAAAAATGTTATGATGGTGAATACGCTAATGGAGGATTACTGTGAATAGATATTAACAATCACGATAATGTTGATGTTGACGACATTGATAACATATTTGATGTTAATATAAATTGATCGTGTATACCAGTTATATCAGCATATATATTGCTAGGCGAATCAACTGTAGACAACAGATTTGATGTTTCAGGTGTTTGATTTTGTTAGCTAGGTCAGTTAAAGTATCAAATGGAGTGTAGTAGGCAAGAAAAGCTGCTCATTATGAATTTTAGAGGACACTTATTTTCACAATCGAAATATTTATCGTCGTCTTAACAATCAAAAAATGCGTCTAGCACAAACTCTGACACATTTCTTTATCATCCTTCTACTTACTCATCTAGAATGTTATTGATATGGGATCTGTAATGAAGGAAAGGCCTTACTAAAGATGTCTGTCACGATATATCGTTTTTTGACAATTATTAAAGCTATAAAATAACATTCGTTTGTGTTACCATTCCTATGTAGGTATTGCATAACTTTCAAAATATCCGATAGATAACTATTTACTCTTTTCAATGACTCGTATTTAATATCGATTTAAAACCTATTGTTAAGACTAGAAATAAATATTTTGGTTTCTGTTATATATAATCAACAAAAAATAACTATGATACTTTTTATTGAAAAATAAATAAAAAAAGTTTCATAATGTTTGAAATAGGTTGAAACAATATTAGTCGTCTATTATCTTTTCAATGTAATAGTTAAAATACTATAGTCCTTTGATCTCAAATTTTAAGCTTCTGAAATTATACTTGAATGTTTATCAGAGGGCATTACAGAACATGCAATGATGTAATAGTACTAACAAATCATCAAACTGGATTTGTACAAAAAATGGAAAGAAAATATGTGTGCAAAAAATATGATATAGACTTTTCAAATTTATATATTTTACATAGATGACAACGGTTTTTATACAGAAAAGTAACATGATTAATGTCTATCAAACACTCTGATAACTAACCGCAGAACTGCTACTTCTGATATTTGTATTTAATGCAAGTTATTCATATTTATCTTCTATTTGTATATTAATATCAACATCATCATACTCATCTGTTTTATTCTATCGGTTTTTCGGGAGAAAATATTCCTAAGTAATCCAGTTGATTTGCTTTCATATATTGTCAATATGTAAAAGATCATTAGAGTAGTATAACCTCCAAAGCTTTTTCTACATATCCTTAGATTCAGTCAAGATAGCGACTTTTTAGTAGATTTTTTCCTGCAAGAATCCTTTTTTCGAAAAACTTTTATTTGAAAATTTCGATGTGAAACTTTATACACATGAAGATCTTTGTTAGATTATTTCATGTAGTCAGTTTTATTAGTTTGGATATTGCATTATTAAAATATGAATTTCTCAACATATCTACGCTTTTCTTTAAGTGCTGTGTAAGATCTTGTCAATGTGATATTCAAAATAGATAAAACATTTTACATAAAATAGTCTAATAGTGACTTTCATGTGCACAAGATTTTAGGTGAAAATTTCTAAATATAATTTTTTCTGGAAAACTCGACTAAGGTAGATTAAACCTCTTAAAAAAGTTGTTATTCTGACCAAATCGAAGCACAATCAAAACACTTTTGGAGCTTACACTACTCTAATGACCTCCAACATATTGACATAATATGGAGACAAACAGATAGGACTATTTGAGAACGTTCTGTCATAGTCATGCATTTTGTAATTACTCAAATAAAAGTAATTAAATACATCACTATTGGCAAATCATAGTTAATACGTACGTATATAGTAAATATTCAGACAAGAATAAAAAACAAGAAACAAATGACAGTGATTTAAACAAATCAAGATAAGACAAGTGTCATATATTCATAAAATGATTCATCACTTCTATTTGGTAATAATTACCACCTTTTGAAGTATGTTAAATTGTACTGAGCCTTTATCTGTATATCACCATAGCCGTAACACATAATAAATATATTTTGTTGTATTTAAAAAAATGCGAAAGCGCCAAAAACATCAAAATTAAAAATAAAAAAACAACAAAAATTTCAGCCTGAATTCGAGACTGATGAAGTGTAATTATTGAATTATTAGTGAGAAATATTCATAATCAAATTATATCACTCCAATAATAAAAAAGAAAAGAAATTTTTAGTAAATTTTTGACTGATTATAGCCTTTGTAATATTTCAAAATCACTTATATTTATAATAGATGTAAATAAATTAACAAAAATCAAGAATAGCTATCTAGTTACGTTAAAAAGTCTGTATATCAAACATAAAATTCAATGAACTGTAAGAAACCTTGGGATGAGCTATCATTCTATCCAGGTATAATTATCTTTATTATCATAGGCGCATTTTTTTACTCATATTTTCTGTCACTCAACCATGACAGGCTGATGTGTGAGTCGCCTCTTAATTACTAAATGTTTATCTTTCTTTTTCATTTTTCATTAAAAATACGAAATAGGATTGCTTATAGAATTATATTTACGTACGAATAATATTGAACAACCTTCGTTTCTTTGTTTTTTCCATGTAAGTTTAACGCTAATCTCGTTTTATAATGAGTAAGCTTTTCTTCTCATCACCATGGATCGTTAGTTATAATAGTTATTAAATCTTGTCATTATTGTGTTGGATGATTGTCAAAATCATTAATAACAAATGGAAGCTTGATACTATAAAAATTTGATTTTTAGAAATATTTTAGTCATGTAGATATTACAATACAGATATTGTATTCAGATTGAATATGTTTCAGTTATGAGAATACTTTAAAATTTATCGCCTTATCAATTAGTTTCGGTTTTCAATGTTAAAGACGTTTTAATTAGTTTAACGAAGAAATATTTCTCTATTAATTTAAGTCAATAATATGCTCTGTTAGATCTACGACATAAGTCATTATAATGGTACGAATAGTTGAAACATTTTATCACAGATCATATTGTAAAAAGTATATATGTATATATATTTTCTCTATAGAATCAGATTTCACTTCATTTGTCATGCATTCTATAAGCACTCAATTGGTATTATTGTCAAAGCCGAGTTGTATGCCTAGCTAGAAGTAAAAGTGCTTTTTGTTTTTATTTTGAATCGTTTATTAAATTTTCTCAATAGATGCTAATAAATGGATAAAAAGAATCGAGAAAAAAAGTATCTTGCATATTCGAAGCGATAATGAGATTCTAATATGAAAATTTCATTAAGAGTGTTAGGAATACTGCTCGAAATTGCAAAATTGTAGTCCTGATCGACTACTGCGCTTCTATCTCGACATTTGATATATCTGCATTGGTGAAAAATTTTGACCAAAATAAAAATTTCTACATCTTGTCTTCTTAGTTTCAAACAAAATGTTTCATACTATTCAACGACAAATAAAAATATTTCTCCTAATCACATGTTGCTGTTTCAATTTCATAAGTAAGTTAACGAATTTCTTCAAAAATGAAAACATGATGAATATTAGTTGGAGGTCCTGATCAACTTCGTTTGTTAAACTATCTATTGGGTGATAGTCGATACAGACCAACTGCACGACCTGTTCAAAATGACTCTGATACATTACATGTCACTATAAATTTGGCTTTACAAAATATCATTGAGTTTGTAAGCGAGACTAAAAGCAAATTTTTCATGTGTTTTTGATTTTGAAATATACATAGGATGGAAAGAACGAAGCTATTGTTATTAGTGGCTGGATGACTATCGTATGTGTACTCAAGTATAATTAGGGATGCAACGGTGACAATAAGTCACCGTTTCACCACTACTGGTTCAAACTGAGAACCGACTTTTACTAGTATTAGGCTAATACCAACTTATAGCAGCTTATACTGATGTATACCAGATCATACTCACTCATATCGGCTTATGACCTACTCAGTATTTCGTTATTCTGAGTTCGATGTTTTTTGCAAAAAATTTCTTTCACGAAAAATTGTATTTCTGTACAAAACAAAACATTATTGTTTCACAAAAAAAATAATTTTCTTACTAAAGAACCGTTTTTCTTTTGCAAAACAAAATTTTTGCAAAAGAATAAACACCGAACTTCGAGAAACCAATGACAGATTCTGATTTATCCATCCCGATTATCTTCAACCAAAATTTATAAAAAAAACTGTTACTTTTGAAAAAATTCTTTCCCTGATGTAAAAATCAAATTCAAAATTTTGAAAAGCCGACTATACTCTAAGCTGTCATGCGCAGTATCAATCGGTATAAGCAGCTATAAACTGGTATAAACCAATGTTAGCCTAATATTGGTAAGAATCAGCTACTCATGGACTATGGGTACCAGTGAAACGATAACTGGTAGAGGCCGGCTATTCTCACCGTTGCGTGCCTAGCTATAATAACTGATTTTATTGTTCATATATATCTATATAGATGTGGAATGACTATAGTTTAAGATGGAAACCAGAAGAGTTTGGTAATATTCAAACACTACGAATACCAACTACCCAAATTTGGACACCAGATATTTTTCTATACAACAGGTTATTATTTTTCAAAGAAAAGATATCTTGAAAAGTAATGTTTGCTTTTTTTAAGTGTCAATGACAAGTTTGATACTGCAACGAAAATCAATGCCGTTGTACAACATAATGGTGACATACTATATGTTCCACCAGTATTATTCAAATCAATTTGTTCATTTAATATTGCTGCATTTCCATTTGTAAGTATCAAAAAAATGTTCCAATTATATCGTACTTTTATCTTGAATGTTTGTCTTTTTTTGGATACACAACATTGTACACTGAAATTTGGATCTTGGACATATGATGATGCTGGTATGTGATGAAACCATTTTTTTCTAAGAGGAAATGCCAAATATTTCTGCATATTATATGCCTTTTTATTAGGAGTCAATCTGACCGCAGAAAGTAGCAAAGGTCAACTAGATGCATACGTTACAAGTGCCGAATGGGATCTAGAAGGTAGTCGATGTGAGTTATGTGCATTTTATTCTATTCGTTCTGTTTTAGATTTCACTGCTACGAACAATCGTACCAAATACGACTGTTGCCCAAGTGTGTACCCATACGTACTATACACTATCCAAATTCGTCGACGTTCTCTTTACTACTTTACAACTATTGTCGGTAATAAAATATCATTTAGAACATTTTTTCTAATCTTTGCATTAATATTATTGTTTTTTCGTTTCATAGTGCCTTGTTTTCTTATTAGTTGTATGTCACTACTTGGATTTTTATTACCACCGGATGGTGGTGATAAAATAAACTTACGTGAGTTAGAATTTGATGATAAAAAATGTGTTCTTATTCATTCTATATGTTTAGAAATTACAACACTTCTAAGTGTTGTTATGTTCTGTTTACTTCTATCAGAAATTCTGCCACCAACTTCCACTGCTATACCAATGATTACCGTTTATTTTATGTGTGTTATGACCATGTCAGCACTTTCAGTTGTTGCCTCAGTATTAATATTATCTTTTCATTTTCGAAACTCTAAAAGTCATACAATGCCATTATGGGTAATCATATTTGAAAATGAGTAAATCACATGATTTCAGAAATCATTTCAGGTTCGTAAGTATATTTGTAATTATTTGGCGTGGCTATTACTTATGAAGCGTCCTGATCATGATTTGAATTGGCGCGGAATTCGTCGTCGGTGGGCTTCTTCTAAACAAGAATCGAATAATATTAATAAATCTATTGATAATCATCATTCTAAGATTCCTTCTGAACCATTGTTAGATAATACATTCGAGTTGTTATCGACCAACGTTATGAATATTGATAAGAAACCTTTAGAATTGTTAGAAAATCGAGAAAAACAAGGCTCAGATTCGCTATTAGAATTTTCTGTACCTTCAACAACGAAAATTCACGATTCTGGTCATCATCAGAATACATCGAAAGAATTGTATACATGTGATACGGAACCGATTCGTTCTGAGCTACGTATTATCATTTCTCATCTTACTATTCTTACTAATCATTTTCGGCAACAAGACAAAGAAGATGACGAATCTCAAGACTGGAAATTTATGGCAAGAGTCATTGATCGTCTTTGTCTAGTGGTTTTTGCTGTATTCATGATTCTTTTTACTGTACTTAATTTTATCAATATTTAACTTTTTTTTTAACTCCAAATTATTCCTTTTTTTATGTAGTACTGAGCCACACTTTATCTTAATTTTTTCTTTTGTCTTAAATGTATATGTTTTAATAAACTTTACAGAAAATATTCTTAATTGTATACAGACGATTCGATGAATGAAATCAAACTGCATTACATACAAAATGAATCTGAAGAGCTTAGAATGAATTCATGATATCTTGTCTGATAGCATAGATGGGAAACAAGTCATGTCCTCCGCCATGCGATGTTTCCTGGATAACGCTAACGAGTCTCTGCAAATCTCTCGTGATGTACACGACAGATAATATTCGCACCTAGCTCGGATATGGGATATAGGAGCCTGTCCCCAGTGTTAGACCTGGAGATAGATCTCATACGTGAGCGTCTGATGATCGACCGTGACCAATCCGAAAAAGTTAAAGAAACTAAACTACTCAACATCAACAAGTAGTTAGCGATGGTTTCGTCAACTGTCCTAGAAGGCATGAGGGAATGGCGCGATGCCTAAACGAAACATGCAACGTCGCATTAATGACTGGCAAAGAAACGGAATTAATTGACCTAGCGAAAAAATATCAATTAGATTTACTTGTAATTTCATCAACGAAACGGATTGGCAAAGGATTATTGATTCTGTCCAATGGATGATAATTATTTTACTCTGGCGTCGATCCAACAATTCATGGTCAAGCCGGAGTAAGTTCTAAAATGAACACCAATCAATGAATGGGTCGGTTTTCTAACGAGGAACTTCTCTAGGTATTTCGTTCGAATTTCAATGAATTTTTGCTCATGGGTACCACATAGTGCCTTAATAAATATCCTAAAAGTATTTGAGTGCACCGTGCTTCCTTCAAAAGTTATGCATATATTTTTATTTTGCCTCTATGCAGCATTATGTACATTATATGAGAGAGAGTCTGCGACAGGATCTACCAAGTGAGCTGCTGCTAAACTTTTGATGTTTCGATTTAATTCTCTCAAAAGATAGATAATCATTAGAATACTGCAGATTGAAAATATTACCTCTTTCTGACGTACCTTTAAAAGCAACTCGGTGTTTTCTATGCAAAATTGGCTGGTTCATAATGTTGTACAATACTACTCATTAAGTGATAATCTCAATACAGAGCAAAAAATGATCATTTCCTAAGATGAAGATTGTCTAATATGTTGACGTTAGCCGCTGTAGAGCGTACTATCCCAAAATATTTTTTATATTTTGTAAAAGCCGTTGAAATTTAGCATTGTATAAGGCCCTACTAAAATACACCACAACACAGACGAAACAGATTTGTTCATGTCGCATATGTTGATGTGTAATAGTCGTCTGTATTAGAGATGGTCATCACCAATCAATATTTAAAGGATTGGCTAACTTTCGCTACCAGAATTTTAATTATTTGAGCTCTACCTCAAACGATGTAGAATTTCAAAGGCTTTCGTAAAACATAAAAATGATTTTGGAATAGCTTGATCCAGTGTGATTAGAGACAAACTGCTAAAAAATTGGTAGAAAAACCAACAATACTTTTGCTCGCACATGGACATCATAAGCTACTAAAATGTGTTCCAGAAATCACTTAGTTAGCTAATATTATAGAAAAAACATGCCTGCGTCTTTTAAGGCGTCGCTGAATTCGAAAAAATGAGCGAATGCAGAAAAAAGTGCAAAACACATTAATTAATATCTCTCTGACCGAAGTCACAACAGTTATCAAATCACTTAAATCGGGCAAAGTTGTTGGAGTAGATGAAATAAGACCAGAGACGTTAAAATCTCTCGATTCTGGCGATATACTTTGGCAAACTCGAATCTGTGATGTTTTGTGGAAAATCGGCAAAGCTCCAGTGAATTGGTAGACTGGTATTTTTGTTTGGATTTTCAAAAAAGGAGACTAGAGAGAGTACTCAAATTGGAGAGTAATCACTTTACTCAGTCTCTCTGGCAAAGTCTTCACTAGAATAATCGCATGAAGATGCCGAAGAAACTATTGATCCACAGATTCAAGACACACAATGCTGCTTTTGTACAAGAAGAGGAACAATGGATCAAATATTCACATACAACAAATACTGGAGAAGTCATGAGAGTTTGCCAAACCAGTTTGTACATTATTCATCGACTTGGAGAAGATTTATGGCTGAGTACCACGTGAAATACTTTGGAAAGTATTAAACGAGTATGAAATTCATGGCCATCTTCTATCTGCAATTCAAACTTTATACAACGATTGTAAAGGCTGTATCTGAATAGATGGTAGAAAATCAGAATGTTTCTAGATGCAAGTTGAACTCGGACAAGAGTGTGTGTATTATTTCCATTATTACTTATGGCATTCATGGGCAAGTTATCTCGAACAAGTACCAATCCGACCTACATCTAGATCAATGATGCCAAGGTGGATTCCCTTTTCTTTGCTAATGATATTGCTCGCCTAGTAGCATCAGCTGATTGACTACAAAATGTTCTCGATCGATTTGAAGACGTGTACTCGGTCTTCGCTATGAGTATCAGTGTGAAGAAAACGGAATTGATAATGATTTCAAAAGAATTAAATCAATGTACTCTTCGTTTGAACAGTGATCTGTTGAACAAAGTGAACAAATTCAAGTATCGGCGTGTACAATTCTCGAACAATGGAAAACAGGATGGTGAAATTGATCAACGAATCGATGCGTCAAGTAGAGTATTTATGAGAATTTTTCGGAAAAAAACAGAACAATCGTATAACAAGCTAATAGAGGAATTATTGTTAAGAACATCACACAAGAACGACATATGTTTCCATTTTTATATCGTTTTGTCATTTGAGATGATCATCATTTCTAATCTTTTTCTCAATAAGTTTCTTGACATAAATAAGTAGCATGAATTTGTTCTCAGTCTTGGATAAATCCTCCTTGCAAAGAAAACGCTAAACATAAAATAAAAACGAGTATGCATTAGTTATTTGTCACGACGAGAATCAATGAGAACACATAATACTCACTAACAATCTTTGAGAAAATTATGTATCACCATGATTAGAAATTCGATAAGTCTTTTTACTCGTTCTTTCTTCATTCAAACCCATATCTGTCTTGATATTTTCTATAATAAAAATTCTTTTTCTATGGTACTGAATTAAGTTACTTCATGTATCTGACAAATAGTCAAAGAAAAATTAAAATATTGTTTTGTTATTAGAGAAACGATTATTTTAATCGTGTAATCGTTAATATAGTACATTTCCAGACAAAGCTCATTATAGAAGTCCAATGAATTCAAATCTGATTATTTAAAACTAGTGAACCTTTTCAAATAATTAAATAAGATAAAATAGATCAATCTAAACCGTATTTTAAATATAACTAATTTCATTTTCCAATTTACAGTTAAAAACTTTAAAACATCAAAAATTTATTTTCGTTTAATCAACAAGGGAACCATAATTCATTTTTTTCCTCTAACAAATCAATTTAAAAGTTGAGGGTGACGCATCAATCGTATCTAAAATAATTTGAATTTTTTAGTAATTATTTAAGAGTGGACTGGCAAATAAAACAAATGAGTTTGTTTACTCTGTGATTAAAATTGATAGATGAAGAGATTTTTAAAAATATGTTATTTTATTTTATTCTAATAAGATAGTTTTGGGAATGATCCTTATTTTCGATATAATTAACTAGAATTTTTAATCCATTCAAATTTTTCGAATGTTTATAACAAAAATAATGATTAATAGTCAATAAAATAAATAGAGAAAGAAAGTAAATATTTATAGACAAAGAGTTTCTTTGACGACGATGTTAAAACAAATTAATAAATAAACATAACCACACGAGTTATCAATATAAATTACTTTTATCTTATAAAAACAAAATTTTATACAATTCAATAATTTCTTTCATTTGTTATTGTATCCGCTATTTCTTTACAAATATCTTGCATTTTATTTAGTTCATTTTCTTTGAGTATAATAATCGACTGTTAATATTCTCCATCAAATATAATTGTATCAATCGAAAAAAAAACTGCTTTCTTTAATTAGATCTTTATACTTATACTGAAAAATAAGTTGTTCGTTAAATATGAAACAAATTCAGTTTTATTTATTGTGAGTCAGAGACCATCACAGGGCGCTTTTTTTCACGCCCTGCCCTGCGAGCAGGACAGGGCAGGGCTACTAAATTGTGTTTCCTTATTACAAGATCTCAAAAATTGATAAAAATTATGTGATTGCTTTCAAGTTTGATATTGAAATTTTATTCATGTAGATTCAAAAAAAATGTCAAAATAAACCCCAGTTGGCAATGAAAAAAATCGTATACTAGAGAACAATATCCGTGTTAAAACTTCAAAACAAATCTAATTTCAATGAACTTTTTCATATTTGAAACTTGATTAAAGTGTTTCTATTTTAATAAGATTATTCAACTCTAATCCTCTTTAATCACGATACGTGTGAAACACATTTTTCTGAATTTTTAATTTGAAAACTACAGTTTCTTGGTGAAGTCCTCATCCTTGTATACTGATAAGTGTAACATTAGATCAAACTTTGATACACGCCATACTTCGAAGTGCGATAGTGACTGGTGTTAACTGGTGTAAATCAAAATACTGACAAATTAATCTTGTCCCCTCTTTTGTCCCACTTAAGGGTGTTACTTTATTTTTACCTTTCTTTATAAAAAAAGGATAAATATAAATAAAATCTTTATCTTTGTAAAATAAAAATAAAGAAATTCTTTATATTTGAAACATAAATGTAAGTCAAAAAAAAAATCTTTATTAGTCAAAAATTAAGATAGATTAAATCTTCATAGTTATAAAATAAAGATAGAATAAATAATAAAGAAGCTTTTTCTTCAATGAGAACATAAGCTTTAGCTTTCACTAAGTAGTTCACAAGAAGTTATGATACCATAGATGGAAATAAAATATACAGAAAAATCTGTTGTATATATTTTTTCATTTGCCAGCTTGATTCTTAATTATATCATATGTCAAAGTGATATTGATGATAAGAAAAAATATTGATTAACATATTCTACTGTTATATTACGTATTTGTCTATTTACCTATTATAAAAATAAACCTTTCTTTATTCTTTATTTTATTTTTAGTCTTGAAAGTAAACAATTCATCTATCTTTATTTTATAGATATAACGATATTATTTAACTTTATTCTTTAACTATAAAGATTTACTTACCTATTTATATTTATTTTTCAAAAACAAAGAATTCATTTCTGTTTATTTTATGAATAGGATGGTCGTATTTATATTTATTTTATAAAAAAAACATAAAGCAACATCTCAAGTTCAATGGAATAAAAAGTCAATGGCGTTCTATTATCGAAATTCACATCGCTTTTCCAAAGATGGTCTTGTATTGCGAGCTAGCCTTTTGCTAGCATTTACCTAAAAAAAATTGACGGTTTTTGAAGAATTTTTCTGATATTTACAGAGGAGCTTTTATCGATCGTGTGTCACAATATCAGAAATGTTATTTGGAAAAAAACTTGCCAGAAAAAAACTATTTTAAATTACAAAAAATTGTTGTTTATTCAACACGTAGGTTTTTAGATGCTACACTTTGCAAATTTGCAGAAGTACCGTAAAACAGTCAGGAAAACCCATGGCCTGCTATTAGGCCCTGTGAAATTTCTCTTGTTGATGGCATTTTAATATAGGATGTCTTTCTATTCATCGGGAGAAGTTTTTAAGTTCAAATCGACTATTTTCAATTAAGCCGATTCAAGTTGGGTCTTCAGATTGCAAGACAACTTTTGATTTGGTTTTGCTTAGTAAAACTTTTTTTCCATGTTCATAAACTTCTTGTTCTTCTGGAGCAAGAAAGTTATGTGATATAGATACTCCTTGAGATATGCAGACGAAAACAAATTTGACTAGAGTTCTAGTCATTTTTAAGCTGTACATAAAGTGTAATCAATTAAAAATTGCTTTTTAAAAATCAGTTTTACTCAACCAAAAGGTATTAAACATTAAATAATTGAACTGAAATTGGATGAAAATAGTGTTAGTGTTATCGATCTTTAATCGAAAAAATAGATTAGAATTAGATTTTTAAAAAACTTTTTATCAGAGCACAGGGCAAATACTCGAAAATGTACCCTGCCCTGTGATGGTCTCTGGTTAACACCATATTTTTGCTGAATTAGCCTAATCTTGAATAATATATCAAATTTTCGAAAGATGTCATCTGTTTCTACTAAACAAAGAAAAAAATCAAAATTATCATCATCAATTACTCTTTATAATTTTAATACTATTCCTACTGAACCTTCACAGTCATTAGTTTTTATTAACACTTTTTCTTCAACCATCGGTGCTACTGGTACTCAAAATTCGACGCAACGCAGTCAATTGAGACCTCTGTTATGAATATAGTGTTAGCTCTATTCAATATGAACCCGTATTGGTGATGTATTACGGTCACAAAATCGTTTCTGGCCTTACGACGAGAAAAACCAAAAACTGAAGTGGAACAAATAACGAGGACTTTATGATTTTGATGTGTTCTAGCTTTTATAGGTCTCTGTGAGTTTTTTTCCATCATAATTTTTCTGAGATCTGCTACAAAATACACTGTTCAAATATGTTAAAATAACATGCCTAGAATTAACACAACGTTCTCCATCCAACCATGAAAGAAAATTTCGAAAAAATTTACTCCGATTTCGGACTGTCGCCACCTTAAAAAAGAAACTCTCATGAATAGAAAAATAAGAGAACAAAAAGTGCATCAAGCAACAATAGCTATAAAACAAAAAAAAGAAAAAAAAACATCTTAATTCAAACAGAAAGAAAAAAAGAAGAAACTGGTGTGCGCGACGTTGATTGAAGAAAATATGTATTTATTTCAATACTTTCCTTTTTCTTTGGTCATATTTTGCACTTTGATTCTACTAATAAGAAACTTTTGCTTTAGCCTTTATGGGACAAATATTAACATCGAGTAATAAAGCAAAAAATGATTTTTCACTTGATCAATTGTTAACTACAACAAACAATGAAAATAAAGAAAGTATAACACTTATTTGGTTTGATCCAAATATTGGATCAAGCGAAGATACTGAAAAAACAAAACAAACATTGCGTCTTATTAATGATTATGTTATTTTTGCTACTGACCTCGAACAATGTATTACATTTATTCAATCAATTAATAAAGAAAAAATCTTTTTAATTACATCAGGAGCAAAAGCATCAGAAATTTTATCTCGAGTTTCTTCTTTTGATCAAATTGATTCAATTTTTATCTTTTGTATAAGAAAAAATCGATATGAATATTTATTAAATGACTTCAAAAAAGTGATTGGAATTTATATTAACCTTGGTGATTTATGTAAATCAATAAAAGAACAAATTGATCTTGCCAACAGACAAATACAAACATTTTCTTTTTTTGATCAACATCAAAAGTCAACTAAAGATTTATCGAAAGAATCAGCAGAATTTCTTTGGTTTCAATTATTCAATTATGTTATTGCGCAGCTTCCACGAAATCAACAAGCTAAACAACAAATGATTCAAATATGTGAAGACTATTATCGTGGAAATACAAAAGAAATAGAATTAATTCATGAATTTGAAAATAATTATCGATCAAAAGATGCAATTCTTTGGTATTCAAAACAATCATTTGTTTATAAATTAATAAATAAAGCATTGAGAACAGAAGATATTGATTTATTATATACATTTCGATTTTTTATTGGAGATCTTTCTGACAATCTTCAACATGAACATGAAAAGATTTTATTATCAAAAGAAAAAAACTTAAATGTTTATCGAGGAGTTAAACTTGGCAAAGAAGAATTTATTAAACTAAAAGAAAATCAAGGCAAACTTATTTCAACAAATGGATATTTATCAACTAGTCGACGAAGATCATTAGCATTAAGTTTTGCACTAAAACCAACAGAAAGAATTGATGTTGTTTCTGTTCTTTTCCATATTCAATGCGATATTGAACAAATTGATAAAAGTATTATTCTTGCTGATATTTGTAAATTTAGTGCATATCCGAAAGAAGAAGAAGTCTTATTTGATTTAAATGCTTGTTTTCAAATTGAATCTATTGAAGAAACTGAATCATTACAAATAATTAAAATGAATCTTTCGAATGAAGGTCAAAAAATTACTAAAGATTTTATTGAATTAACACAAAAAGAAACAGAAGAAATAAGTGTTTCGATTGTTTTTGGACGATTACTGTGTGATTTAGGTGAATATGATAAATCACAAAAATATTTTCAACAATTATTCAATGATTCAAATGGTGAAGATCTTGCATGGATTGAATTTAACATCGGTCGAGCTCTTGATTATAAAGGTGAATGGAATGAAGCTCGAGAAAATTATGATCGTGCATATAATCGAATGATGAAGAATAAACCAGCGCGAATCAAAGATTCTGCTCGTGTTCTCAACAACATTGGTGTTATTCTCGATAATCAAGGAAAATATGATGAAGCTCTCGATTATTATCAACAAGCATTGAAAATTCGAGAAGAATTTTATCCATCTGGTCATGTCGATATTGCTGCAAGTCTCAACAACATTGGTCTTATTCTCTCCGATCAAGAAAATTACGATGAAGCGCTCGGTTATCATCAGCGAGCACTACAAATTCGGAAGAAATTTTATCCAGCTGATCATGTCGACATTGCTGCAAGCCTCTACAACATTGGTAACATTCTTTCCGATCAAGGAAAGTATGATGAAGCTCTGGATTATTATCAACAAGCATTGAATATTAGACAGAAATTTTATCCATCTGGCCATGTTGATATTGCTCATAGTCTCAATAATATCGGTCTTATTCTCTCCGCTCGAGGAAAGAATGATGAAGCTCTTAATTATCATCAACGAGCATTGAAAATTAGAGAGAAATTTTGTCCTTGTGGTCATATCGATATTGCTCAAAGCCTCTACAGCATTGGAAATATTCTATCTGATGAAGAAAAGTACGATAAGGCTCTCGATTATTATCAACGAGCATTAGAAATTCAACAGAAATTTTATCCATCTGGTCATGTTGATATTGCGACAATCCTCAACAACATTGGTAAAATTCTCTATAATCAAAGAAGGTACGATGAATCTCTCGATTATCATCAACAAGCATTGAAAATTCGAGAGAAATTTCATCCATCTGGTCATGTTGATATTGCCTCCAGCTTGAATAATATTGGACTTTGTTATGAAAATCAGAACAAACGAAAGGTAGCACTTGACTACTATCAGCGTGCATTGGCTATATATGAGAAATTTCTTCCTGTTGATCATCCACGTCGTCAGGGAATCGAGCAAAAAATTCGTCAGCTTACTAGAAAAAATTAAACCTCACTAATTGTCACAGTAAAGAACCGAATTATAAATAACCTTCTCACGATTTTGTTTTTGTGTTCACACGTTTGTTTGTAATTCATAATATTGGATATTCATGGTATCGTAGTTTTGAACAGTTTTAAAATTCGACATTGAATTTCATTCAAAGTTTTAAGCCTCATTCGTTGTGAATTGAAGGAAATGTCCTTCGAATAGAATCAATTTTTCTGAAATGAAGAAATCTTCGAAAAAGCTTAGATAAGTTTTTCAATATGAAATTTATTATGGATTCTTTATAAGAAGAATTTAAGAAACATCAGAAAAATGTAATTTCTGAGAATAGTTTTAAAAGCTTCTGTATTAATGAGAAGAACATTGTGTGAAATAGAAAAATGAACGTTGACTTGTTTTTTAATTGATTATCAAATAAGTTTTGAAGATCTGTCTAAACATTATCTTCGATGCATATTGTCTTAGTCGGGTTTTTCTGGAAATAAAACTAGGGTGTGGCTCTGTTATTCTCCAACACCCACATATGACATTAACACGGACACCCGCTGCCACACTCTTATTTAAACTGACTGCTACAGCATGTGTAGATCTTGCCTTGTTTGTGCTGAAAGTGCTCGCATTTATTATTGTGTAATCATCAATAATACTTGAAGATGAAATGTTTCTTGCGTGTTGGAAAGACAATCGAACATTCCACCTACCGAAGAATGTTATTGTACGTGCAATGATATACGGTTGTTGTTCTTTTTTCATTGACCAGTGAGGTTGTATATCCCACTGATAGGTAGCTATCAGATGTCTAGAAGAGTATACCACTGCTGCAAGTAGCAGCGAAACTCCATGAATGTGAATGACGCGTCTGGCAGACTAAGTGTGTTTTGAGTTATTAAATCTCTAAGGTCTGTACTTTAAGACGAAAAGATAGCACTTCAAGAACAGTGAAATGGAGCCGCTCGTGGAGACTAACAGTCTCATCAATCGGTCGCTGTGTAGATGTTAGTGACGTACTGGCTTTTCTTTCGAACTGCGCAGTCAGACTATCTCTTTTTCAATATTTTTGTTGCACAAATTTATGATGTGCCTCTCCGTCCAAGTCATACCGTTAGAAGAGCAACTTTTCGTAGTTAAAATGAGCTTTATTGAAAATTCAAGCAAAACATAGATCAGAAAAATATGATCAAAGCATGAAAAATGTTTTTCACATCATGGTATATGCTGCGTCGACCGCACCTGATTTCTGATCATTTCCACCTGATTTTCTGGCTCGTCAATAACAGTAACCATTGTAATAAAACAATGTTCCTTTAGGACAATATTTTGGCAAACATCGTACACACACTGGATGTGATGCCGGACAACAATAACCATTGCCACAATTGGTGAAACATTGTTGACCGTCGACAATCTCTAAATGAAAAACTGCTATCAGAAGAAGAACAGCAACAACAGCCATTTTAGCTCCATGTTGGACCATCTTTAAAACGATTCGAATGGTCGAATATAACGATGACAAGATTTGTTTTTTGTCTTACCGCATGGCATTTCTATTTATACCAACCGGTGAAAGGAACTAGAATCCCACGTTCTCTTTTACAACACATGCTATTTATCATCAGCTTCACAAAATATCTCGAGAGATATGTGATATTTGCTGGTAGCACTTGACATCTTTGGTGAGCAAGCATAAAATAAACATCAATATAAGAGCTATAGAGTAGACACAGCTTGGGAAAATAGTGTGACATCGTCTTTCCTCGAAAAGAAATGGTGAACGCTTACGAGAGTCATCATAAAGAGCAATAAAGCTATACATAGCAAGGAAGTGAAAGCATCTGACAAGTTGGATAAAATTTGTTTTTGTTTCCGTTTTGAAATATTGGTATACGATTTAGTATAGTACCGTCAAAAAAATCCTTCTTTGGTTGATCTTTGAGGTCTGTTTTTCCGAAATGTCGAAGCATGCATGAGAAATGAACATAGTGCAAGTTCTTTCAACAAAGGATGAGTGGGTGTGGGTGTGGCTGCGAGACGACAGAATATGTACAACAACATCACCCACACTCCACGCCCCCACACCCAAAAAACTACTTATAAAATCTCTCTGAAGAAAAATTCAATACAAACCACAGTTACTACAATTGAACGTTTCAGTATATTTTTTTTCAAACATTGTCTCATCTAACTATACATAACTTCATACCGCGTTTTAATTTTTCGTCTTTATAACATAATACGTCAATTCAAAATAATGTCAGCGTTCACTTTTTCAATAAAAATATTTGTGAATTTAAATAAATAAATAAAAGTTCCGAATGTGATAAGAAAAACTAAGTAGTATGTATATGCATGAAATCGTATAGAATATCAGTGGATAGAGAGTTAAAACAGACTATAAAATCACGATTTATCGCAAAAAACGCGAAAATAATCGAGAAAAATCGGCGATTTTATCGCGATTTAGCGCACGATTATCGTTTCGATAAATCGCGATTAATCCCCAATTTCTTACCGATTTTAAGGACATGAGGAGAGCGAATTTCTTTCATTGTTTTTTGGAGACAAATTTTTAATGTTGATTTCTGAATGACACAACTATCCTTCAATATTATGTTAAAAAATACTGCAGATTCAGTTAAGATGTTGATTATCTATTCATTTATCAAAATGATGTGTCAAATTCTATATGGACTAAATTGTTGGATATTTATGATTGTTCTGAAACATGATGATAAAAAATGCTTATTGATGAATTTCTAAGTTCATCAATGGTGTAGAAAAAGTAACATTTTCGGATACAATTTAAAAATATGAACAAATTAAATACTCAGTATAATTCATTGTTCAGTATTATATAAAAATTATCAGTATAAGACTAGTTCTGCGTTAAACAGCACCTTAAATTATGATTACCAGTTAGTAGTCGTCCTGCAACAGCTGATACAAAGTATGCAAAACAGGTGAACATCACTAATAGAACCATACAATTAAAATGTGTTTCAAATCGAAGTTCTAACTATATTCATTAGATATTATACAGTTATTTAGCGTTATATGTTTACTATGCACTACAGACATAAAGAGCTTCCTGAAGTTCTTTCTGCTCCAATAGAACTAAAAACATAACGAATGGTAAATAATATAATTGTTTCATCAGATTTCGCAGACCTTTTGTCTAAATTTTAATTTATTATCGGGTAGAGCATGTCATCAATCAACTTTGCTGTATGCGCAAAGATGCGTATTTAAGCCCTTACCGATATACAACGTCTCGAGTATAACGTTCTATGCAGACCTATTCAAAGTGACTTGTGTAATGAGTAATCACTGAATTTCTCAACAAAATCTCGTAGTCCTCTTCAGGTCACTTTAAAAGTTGAATTTCGAGTTTCAACTTGAAACTTTCCATAAATAATGTTCTTAATGTGACTAGTTTGTTGCTTCTATCGTGAGACACGCACATTCAAACTTCTGTCGGATGAGAAAGAAAATGATGTACGTATATTCGTATGTCACGATAGAAACAACGAAAAAAGCTGACATTTTCAGAAGGAACTAAGTAGTTCTTTTAAGAAAACTATGTGTGCAAAGCTTCAAATCAAAACTCAAAAGTCAGTTTTCAATTTGACTGGATGAGGATTGCGAGACTTTGTTGAAAAGTGCAGTAAAAATTCTATTTTGCAAAAATCTTACTAGCAAAAGAGGCTAGAGAAGCATAATTATGCAAAATATCAAGTTATGAGCTACAGTAATTGAAGGGATTGCGCCCAGGCTCCTTTTTCTGTCTATTGTTTCCCACACTTATACTCTATAGTGAATAGAGAAAGAAGAGAACGGCAAATTCAAATCGAGAGAGCTACTGATTATTGTTGTACTCTAATGTGAAGCAAAGCCAAGAAGACGTGAGACACTGGCAAGTGTATGAGAAAAGTCAAAACTCAAGGGCACGAAGTGTAAGAAGATGTCGAAACATCAATAAATATATTGAAATATGACCACGATTGGAAAATATGAAAAAAATTGCCGTTTCTCGTTTGTATTAAAGTATTTATTTGTTCGTGTCGATCATTGTCGATTCCCAAACCATACACAGAAGTCATATGTATCAGACGTGTCATTATCCCAATAGTCAGAATCAGTGAGACCTGTTTGGTGTTGTTTGAGCCATTCCGTATCGATTTTTCTGCATTTTTGACAAATTCTCAAGCTACGTAATGCTTTCATGCGCTTGAAAATGGTATCTGTTATGATGCTGCGTGACTTCAAGTGCAGTGTCAAATGTTCGCACGTTCCACTGAAAACACGGATGAGAGAATGAACTTCGCGTATTCTTACATAACGTTGATAGCTTCGAAAACGATAATCTGGCCTCAAAGTCAACGATCGAATCTTATGCCATAATTGTCCACACACCACGTAATTAGTCCATTTGTCTGTGATGTGTTCCAATGTACTAAACTGTGTTGTTAATGCATGCAAGTTAGGCGCATTCTCAAGCAAATGAGCAAACTCTTGCGATGACATTGTCACCTTGTATCCAAGTGACAAATGAATTAATTGTTTCCACGAAAATTGCCAAGCAGCAGGCAGAGTAGGAATGTTGATGATCAAATGAATGACTGCATCACGATTGATTGTCTCAGGGGGCGTTTCGCAGATCTGATCCCAGGTCAGTGTTTTCACATTTGGATACAGGCTCTTATTTGCATTAACGCTATTACTAGAAAATAATGTTGAAAGACTTGTATCAAAGGATTGCGTAGTGATTTTGAATTGTTCAAAGACAAATGGCAGAGAGTATAGACAACCATGTCCAGAATAATGATGTCCATCGCATTGAACATACCAACACTTTTCAAATAAATAGAACGGTGTCGAGAACGATGCTACGATTTGATTCATCTTGTCGACTGTGAAATCATAGCTGTAAAATAAAAAGTAAAATTGAAAAATTTTGAGCATTGGTAATGATGAATTAATGAGTTCTTCCCACTCTTGACCAT